TTCTGATGACGAAATCAATGCTCATATACCACCATCTGATCAGTATTTTAAGCTAAACTCAAATCAAGCGAAAATAATAGTGACCGATATAATAGCGAACATTATTTTAAAACATACTATTACGATAATATACCATATGATCAGCGCTATGAACTTGACCCACTCAAAAATGAACCTTACAATGGCGACGTACTTGAAACCCGAGACTCATCTTTTAACGGAAATTAAAATTTTATCTTCAATTCCACGCAGGATCAAGTAACCTACTAAACATTACATATAACAGTACCTAATTTGCGCTATATATTTATTCCTGAAATAAATGTTAAACTTTTAATTGATTATTTGACCGATTATATTTTTAATGTAAAATTTCAAATTGTAACAGCTCACATGGTAACTCATCACAATCAATTAATTTTAATTTCCATTTTTAACCTTTTTAAAACACAAAAATGGCATAAGTTTCATGTTTTTGATTTTGACGATAAGTTTGATGGATTAATACCTATTGATTTATTAAAGGCAATATTGGGCTTTATTGGAAATTCACCGATACTACAATGTCCAGACTAAACCTTTTATTTTAACAACGGACGCTTCAAATGAAGCAATCGGAGCAGTACTATCCCAAGGCAGAATCGGTTTTGATAAACCAATCGCTTTTGCATGGCGAACACTTAATGATAGTGAAACCCCCTAATTTAGGCCATGCCGATCATCGACCTCTAGATATTCAAATTACGAGAACCAAATAGCAAACTTTTATGGTGGAGGCTAAAACTCGAATAATTTGATTATGATATAGTTTATAAAAAAGGTAAACTACATATAAATGCGGACGCTTTATATAGAATCCAAATCACTGATATTGAAGATTTGGTATCTATGATTAACAAATTTGGCAGTATGGATCAAGACCAGTTTGACCCCTTAAATTATCTTCAAAGTATTGCAGAAAGATTTCAACAACAACAACCAATCAACAACTAGTCAATAAACTTTTATCGAAACTGAAGAACCTATCAATGAAACCTTATCATGCACGACCTCGAAGTCACTTTCTAAAAAACCAAAAATTAAAATACTATCTTATCTTCAAATTAAACCCTCCGATAATCGATTCATTGAGAAATCTGATTTACAAACTCAACATTTAACGAAACTACTGACGACGGAATTAAAATTTGAGATGAAATAATAAATAACAAGGTAAACCAAATTTTAGTCTATCCTCACGTTTACCCTAAACTTGGCATAAAACAAGAAAATTATGAACACTATAAAATAATTACTGTTAAAATCCCAAAAATAGATAACGTACATTTCATTTTACAATCTCTACGGAGATTAATTAAATTTATTTACAGCATTTTTCTGTTATAAGTCCCAAATTATTAAAATGTTAACACAATTACAGACAAAGAAGAACAAAATCTTTTAACAAAAGATCACCATGAAAGAAAAGTTAATCATCGCTGTATATTAAAAACCCTAGAATATCTTAAACGTAATTATTATTATGTCAATTTGAAAACTACAATCACTTAATTTACTAGTTCATGTAATCTGTGTCAAAGAGCAAAATATGCTATATATGTTTTATCCATCCACCGCGTTTGTGTTAACCGAAACCCCTTCTAAACCTTTCCAACTAGTACATGTGGATACATTTTTCTATAATCATAAATCTTATCTAACTTTGGTTGACTCCTTTTCAAATTCGCACTAGCATTCAAATTCCAGGAAAAAATACAATTCATATTGTAAATGGACTAATTATACTGTATTTATTATACCATAAATGCTGTAAACGGCATTTGACTTACGAGTTTTGTTGACACGAGCTTAGCTCACCGGATCGAGTGCTTAATAAACGAGAGACTTAAAAAGTTTACTGAACGTGTTGCATATTATACTTTTTCTTCGGCCGCTAGTTTTTGGGTACATTTTCGCAAAACAATATGTATACATTCACTGACAAAAATGTCAGAATTCAAGGCATCACCAATAGGAATAGTACGAAATATCTCCTAAAACATCCGATTGCTCCCAAGCCCGTGCGGTAAAATCCCGGAAATGTCCGAAGTGGCTCAGATCCGTGGGCAACGAAACTGAAGTGGTAAAGTGACGCTTCCCGCATATTAGATTGGGGTGTAATTAGGCATTTTACAGACGTTAGTAGAAAAAATCGTTTACCGATCGTGTTGCATACTATACTTTTTCTGCGACCGTTAATCTAACACACGGGCATACAAATTCAAGAGATCCAAATGAGATTTTTGTTCTTAAAGAATTCAATCAAACACTCAAGGTGATCAAAATAATTAATTTATACTGGGATAAATAGTTTTTAAACAAAACCTCCACAATTGTAGTAAAAAGAGTAATAAATTCTTAGTTCCGTATATTATAACCGAAGTTTTAGAAAGGAACCGAGCAGAAACATATTTAAAAAATAATTCAAATAAAATAGCAATTGTTCATATCAATGCATTAAAACTTGCTACCACCAAACTAAAATCTCCAAAATTCTACGAAATGAGAAATAAACTAGGATCGTTTATTAACTCTGAAACTTGGTACCGTCCAAAATAAAATTAATTCCTGCTCATTAATTCAAATTTTTTACATAATTAAAATAATCCAAGAATTTCAGAATTTACAAAAACAATAAGTACGTATAAAAAACGCTTTTGAAAATGAAACTACTATCTCGCTTGAGTATAAAAAAACTTTTTATAATTTTTATAGTCTAGCACAGTCCCTTGAAGATAAAATAATAACACAAACTAATCAACTCAATCCTTCATTTATTAGTCGATCCAAAACAAAGCGATTAACTGTTTAGGTTCTATATTAAATTAATAACTGGAAACTTGGAGCAAGAAGATGCGCAAAAATGAAAATGCGCGTACTTGGTAAATCAATCCAAACTTTACAAAATACTATCCAAAATTTAACAAAAAACCAAATTCTACTTGAATCACGTATCGATAATATTGAAGTACTAGATCATATCTCTTTTTCTAAACTAAATATATTTCATAATTCAATCATTGAAACTAACCACCAATTGACTGAAATAGGATCAAACAGTCCTAATTTTGGAGTACTTTAGAAATCGGGTATAAAGTCTCTAAAAAAATAGTTTTATCACCCTTATCACTTGATTGGAAATCAGATATTAACCTACGAGGAGTTATGTACTGTCACTTGTCAAATCTTAGCTGATTTGAATTCCCTTGGCCGAACTTTCTGGAAGCCACTACAACATCGGAGATTTGTCGTCTTGTTGTAAAAAACTAAGAATTTTGCAATTGCCTTGCCTCATAGCAACCCAAAAAATGCATAGCATAGACTAGAAATTATTTCTGAATCAAAATTTTCCATCATTTTAAATTTTTGCGATCTAAAATACTCAGAAGTCGAACTAGAGCTCCTAAAATGATATTCTACAATATTTTTTCGCATACTATCATCTATCTTCTCTTCATGTTCCACATATTTCTTAACTAATTAGATTCATTTTGGATCATGCAGCTCTCCATTAAAGCTTTTCCTAAAGTTAATTGAAAGCTATAAAAATCAAGTTTCTTTTGCTTATGTAATATCACTTGTTCGCTTTCTCTGTTCTCTGATTCTATTATATTAAATTTTCATTATCACCAGACCATAACCATATACCATAACCGTATTTGTCCATGTGTTCTGCCGCCTGCTTCTTGTAACTTCGCTTGTTATTTTATTTTCGATACTTTTTTTATACTTTCCCATACAGAACCGACAGAACCATAATAAATTAGGATTATTAAGTCCAACACAATTAGGCCTAAAACATCCTTTCCTTTCTACACTGCGACCCGTCTATTCACCGCAGCTTCATTGGTCTGACCTGTACTATTTTTAGAGATTTTAAGGCAATGTATTCAGGCTTTGGAATATTATATTTAGGACGTTTGGAGTGTTAATGGATTATTGCCGTTTTAAATCGAACGGCAGTTTGTTTAGGATAGAGATAATACGTGGGGCAAAGACGAAGCTGGAACCTTTTGCAAGAATTGATTTTTTTGCTTCAGAATTTATTTATTTAGCGTATGGCATAAATATACACAGTACATAATTAAGTCACAATTTAATATCTAAATTATAGATGTATTCAATCGATGCTGGAGTCGCGTACAGGAAATCCTCTGGATCACCGTCGTATCTTCTTATAGGACATTCGGTTGTAATGTGCTGGATTGTTTGCCTCTCTGAACGACAGTCACATTCGGGACTTTGGGTTTGGTCCCATTTATACCGGAAATCTGCACAGTTTCCATGCCCAGTTCTTATTCTGTTTAGAGTGGACCAGACCTTCCGTCAAATCCGGAGGGGTAGTATTTATACCGGACATGTCTCTGATAGCTGGGATGGCTTCATTCTGTATGTTGCTCCACTGCCCTCAGTTCTGCGGCTGTTCTCGTTGGCGGGTTTCTCGAACGCAAGCGATTGCGGTTGGCATCAGCAATTTCATTCTGGATTGGCAGGTTAGGGTTGTTCTGTATCTTCTTAAAAGTTTTCAGTAAGGCATTTTGCCGTCGTAGTTCTGGAGGTGGTATAAAACTTAGTAGCGGAAGCCATTGGGTAGGAGTGGATTTTATTGTACCAGATATTAACCGCATTGTTGTATTTAATTGTGTATCAACAAGTCTTGTGTGAGCACTATTCAGTCACACTGGCGCACAGTATTCAGCAGTTGAGTAGACAAGCCCCAGGGCCGAGCATCGCAGTGTGGAAGCATTTGAACCCCATGTTGTTCTGCATAATTTGTGGATTATGTTGTTCCTAGTTCTTAATTTGGCTGCTGTATTTTGGAGGTGTTGTTTAAAAGACAGTGTTCTGTCTAGAGTCACTCCCAGATATTTTGGGGTGGTGTTGTGTGTTAGCAGGTGGTTGTCAGCATAGACTTGGAGCTGCCTGTGAGCCATTTTGATGTTTAGGTGGAAACAGCATACCTCTGTCTTGTTCGGATTCGGCTTAAGTCGCCACGACCTAAAGAATTCCCCTAGTGTCGCAAGGTACTCTGTGAGTACGCGCTCGGTAGTTTTCATTGACTTGTCCCTGGTTGCAATTGCCCAATCTTCCGCATACCCGAATTTTTGACTTTGGGTAGGTGGCATATCTGATATGTACAGGTTAAATAAAGTTGGGGCGAGTACAGATCCTTGTGGAAGTCCGTTGTTTAGGGTCCTATTAGAGCTTTTTGCACTTCCCATGGAGACCGCGAAGCATCTACTACTAAGCATGTTGTTCATTAATCGATATATTGTTTTGCATGGGATTACTTTTAGCAATTTGAAGAGCAGACCATCCTTCCAGACCGTGTCGTATGCTGCCGTCAAGTCTATAAATGCCACTGAGGTCTTCAGTTTCCTTTGGTAGCCACCTTCTATGTAAGTTGTAAGAGCTAAAACTTGGTCTGTTGTGCTGCGCCCTGGTCGAAATCCTGCCTGCTCTATTGGGATGTGGCAGGACAGTACTGGGTTGATTCTATCAAGAACAAGTCGTTCAAGAAGTTTATATATTGCATTCAGCAGTGCAATGGGGCGGTAGCTTTCCGGCTTGTCGGCAGCTTTTCCAGGCTTTAGGATTGCAATTATGTTGGTTTGTTTCAGCTTTTTTGGGATTTGTCCTGATTGTAATATACTGGTGTAAAAATTCGACAACCATGTTCTTGCTGACTTTCCACAGTGTATCAAAAACTCTGGGTGGACGCCATCCAGTCCAGGTGCTTTGCCGCTCTTTGTGGCTTTGATTGCTGTGTTCACTTCCTCTATAGTAAAGGGGCAGGAGAATGTTGATTCTTTCGGGCTGGTCAGTTTTAGGTGCTTCAGCTGCTTCTTAATGTTAGTCGTGAATTGCTTGATGCTTTTCCCCCTGAAGTATTGACTATGTGGGAGGCGACTTTATTTGGGTGGATATCAGTGTTAGGGCGGGCAGTTGGGCCGTCATCTCCTAGTTTTCTTAAAAGAGACCACGCTTTGCGGCTCGATTTTTTGAAGTCCAGTGACTCGACTGTGCTTGTCCATTTATCCCTTCTAGCTTTGTCCAGGCTGTGGAGGAGTTCATCTGCTATCTCACCGTCGCCGCTGTCAAGGAGTTGTTGGTAGAGACGGTCGCTATTTTCGTTCCAACCAGGAACGTACTCTTTGCGATAGCCCCTTGGAACATGTTTCTTAGCAGAAGAGATGACGGCACCAATGAACCTATCGTAATTTTTGTGCGTCGGTGGAATCCAGCGGAGGCACTTGTCAAGCTCAATGGCAAAGGAGGTCCAGTTAGCTCTGCCAAAATTCCAGCGTGGTCGAGGGACAGATGTGATTAGTGGAACTTGGATACCTATTTCGTAAATAATGGGTCTATGCTGGCTATGAGGGAAGTTGTCGAGCACTTTTCTTCTAGTTGGTACAGGTTTATGGTACTGGTCTCTTGTCACAAAGCACAAATCAGGGTTGTATTCCTGCTTCCACGCAGCGGACCTGTAGGTGCCCTTGGCTTTAGCATCGAAAACGTGAAAAAGTTGGTTTCTCTCTGCCCAAACCACCAGAGTATTTTCGTCGTTTTTGCTATATTTCCATTCCTGGTTGTGACTATTAAAGTCTCCTAGGTAGACAGCTGGGTGTGGGCGCCAGTCTGTAACCTGTGGTGGCCAAAGCATTTTTGGAGGCTTGTAAATGTTTGTTATATGTATATCTCCAATCTTTGTTACAACGGAGTGAATGTTGTTCTGTGTGCTACAGGATATGAGATGGGCATTTTCAATGCTGCGTCGAGCGTATGTGGCATTGCCATAAGCGTGATGGTAAGTGGCTCCCAGAAGGTCGTAACCGGGGATTTTTCCTCTGGTTTTTAGTTGTTGTTCATCTGCAGCATGAGTTTCCTGAATGACTACCAGGTCGATATCGTTCGAGGTTAACAATTTAGATAGAATTTCACTTTTTGATCGGCTAATACCCTCTATGTTTATTTGGCAAATTCGGACTCATTGGGGAAAGAGGTTTCTGTGTATAGGCCAGGAGATCTGAGAGATAGTTTGGTCGCCTGTTCGCTCTAGCTCATTTAGCGTTACCCAGGGTGCACGTGTAGTATTCTACCACGGACGCGAGCTAGCTTGCACCCCTTTGCTTCAGAAAGTTGGTACGATGATATATTTATCACAGTGTTTGGAAGTTGAAAAAATTTTATGGTTTCACCAGAGTTGACGTAAGTTTTTCAAATATTTAAATGTGATTCTGGGTAGAAGATAAACGAAGATTTTCAGCATTGTCATGGATCATATTTGAAAGGTTATAGAACTCGAATTGGGACAAGATGGAAGCATTTTCAAGATGTAAAGGCGATAGAGTCTTATTGATTTGGTCTATTTCCATACAGGTATGAATTCTTTTTCGATGTGAAACAAAACTGAATTTGCGAAGAATTTTATAAGCAGATCAGGTTTTGGATATTTTAAAAAAATTAGGGACAACGTTATCTTCTCAGAGCGTAACTGAAGAAGCCAACCGAATGTTTGGCGAAACGTCAGCAAGTTTAATTTATTAAAAACCTATGCAGGAGGAATGCAGGAGACTTGTAAGTAGCACTACAGTAGCCTGTTAAAGTTTTTTGATAAATTACCAAGCTTTTATGGAGAAGACTACCGATTGAAACTCCTAAGGTTAGTCTGTATATTAACCTTTTTGTTATATTGTAGACCTCATTTCCTTCTCCTCTTACTTCGAGAAAGAAATCATCGCACCCGTAAAGAATGATAATTTATGACAAAGCTGAAAATCTTCGTCTATCTTCTTTCGAGAATCACATCCAAAAAATTGAAAAACTGACGTCAACACAAACAAACCATCAAACTCCTTTTAACTCCCAAACACTGTGGTAAATGTATCATCACACCAACTTTCTGAGACGGAAAAATCAGTTCTTACAAAAGATTACAACTTTGTCCTTGCCCCACGTATTATCCCAAAAGAAGAAATCCTTTCCATCCTGAACAAACTGCCATCTCAAACGCTAACGAAATTAAATTTGAGACCTCCTAAATCTAATATTCTAAAACCTAAAGACATTGCTTTAAAATCTCGACAATAATAATAATAATAAACTGTCTTTATTGAAATTCAAAATATTACAATGTAAGTTATAATACAAGAGTTGCGACATTCGCAAATTGCGCCCTTCCATGTAATCACAAGAACAACAGCACCAACACCATAATTGCCAACAAAATACACACCCGGATATACATCGTAAATACAAGAAATAGGCGCACATCATACGCTTTTGCTAGATCCTGGTTACACTATTAACGCTGGCCAATAGACGATAATGCAATAACTAACATATCACAGAGTTTAAGTTTGACTTCTTTACTGAGAAAATCTTTATGAATACACAATGACCTCAACTTATAGAAGGATTTTTGTAACACCGAGCCCACATGCTTGGAAAACCGTAAGTCACCGTCAAACCATAATCCTAAATTTTTAACCTGTCTGAAGAAGGAGAGATAATCTCATCATTTAGCGTAATCTTAAAAGAGGCGTTTCTTACAGTTTCTTCCCTTCTATTTCCAAATAATGAAATTTTGTTAGTATTGAATGAGAGCTTATAAACCGCAAACACCTCCGAAATTATTTTTTATATCTAAATTTATTTTAATAGAAGTATTTAAGGCTTCACTAGCAACAAAATATAAATATAACTGAGTATCATCGGCGTATTAATGAGATTTGCAAAATTTAAGAAAAGTAGAGAAGTCAGCTGTATAAACTGAGAACAGAATAGGTCCCATAATACTCCTGTAGGAAACACCCCTCTCCAAAGCAATGTCATCTGAATGAGTATTTTTATAAAGAGTTTAATTTAGATTCGCGGATTCCTATTTGTCAATTTTTAATTCCTAGAAAATAAAAAATGAAAATTTATTTATTTTAAACCCCAAACGTGGGTTAAGTTTGCTCATTTGCCCATTTTCTGCCATTCTGTCTGGCGAGACTTTAAACAATTCTTTATTGTCGATTTTAGTTTTACTTTTTTCCGCTTTGTTCCTCCTTTGTCCGGGTTGACGTTGATTGCAACACCTGGTTGTATTGCATCTCAAGAATTAAGAGTTCTAACAACTCCTGAGCTAGCTCGTAGAAGCATATTTTTGCAGACGGATCCTACCGTCAACTTAAAAAAGCTTGCACGATCCGCAAGCCACGCTATATACTCCTTGGTTCTCCAAAGTATTTTTTTGTTTTGGGTTTCTTAATACTGCTCCAATGGTAGGATCAGGTTTGTATGCCGTAGGTATCTCGTGTTGCCGTAATATCCGGCCGATTCTGTCAGTAACCCCTTTGATGTATGGCAGAACAACGACAGATCTCTCTTGGGTTTCGTCCTGCAGTTTCTGTTGCGGCTGCTATTGTTTGCTTATTGCTCTGCTGATGGTGCGCCTTTGGTATCCGTTTTGTCGAAGACAGGTACCAATTTTCTTCAGTCCATCATCTCTGTTTTTCTCGTTCGTAAGCCTGAAGAACCGAGCAATTAATGTATTTGCCACTGCCTGTATCTATGATGGGTGGTGGTGAGACTCAGCGTTCAGATATGTTTTTTGGAGAGGAAAATCTTACATAAGACTTCCACCATTGGTATTGTGGGGTATGTCGGATTCCTACCAACTAAAAACCACCTCCTTATTTCTAGCCAAACATAGCGGAACCCCCCGTGGGTATTACTTCGTTACGTTGGCTGGCCTATTCTTTAATATTTTACCTCTTTTATATTAAGTTTCTCTTTCCTTACCTGTCAGGATCGATCTTGAGAGTTCTGAAACGCAGCTCCAAGTTCTATCGGATTCTAGCATCAGCTGCACGATGTTTTGTATTGTCAGTGTGTTGCCTATTAATTGCTCAGCTTTATTGCGTTGCTCTTGCCACCTTGGACATATGAACAACGTATGTTCCACCCTATCTTCTACGATGTCACAGTACATGCAAAGTGATGTCTCTCTTATTTTGAAGCTACGGAAGTTTGACATATAGCATCCGTGCCCAGTTAGTAATTGCGTCAGATGATAGTTTAGAGTTTCGTGTTTTCTATAATGCCATTTAAAGAATATTTGGAATTAATCTTTTTGGCCAGCTACCACCACTATTCGCCCAGATCATCGTTTTTGCCATTTCTCCATGGATTAGTCTTTCAGTTGTCTTGGTCACATTATTTCCATATGATGCCTCCTTTTCTAGCACCTGCAGATCAGTCGACATTATGCTTGCTAGAACCAGTGCAGCATCTGTTGACACCGTTCTAAAAGCATTGCATACTCTAATGGCCAATTTTATTTGTTCTCTGAGCATCATATTGACATACTTTGTGAACCTCAATATACCTGACCAGGAAGGGGCAGCATATAACATGATAGAGTGGGTCACGGTGCTCAGCAGTCTTCGTTTAGATGAGGTTGGTCCGTCAAGTTTAGGCTATAGCTGACGCTTCAGCCTTTTTGCACGTGTTCACTATGTGTTTCTTTAGTGTGGTACCTTGATCAATGAACACACCCAGGTATTTTATCTCGGGTGTCGTCTCTATTAGAATTCCCATTACATCGTTGATGATTCGTTTGGGGCAAGTTGGAGCTTCATTTTCCTCATGCACTCGACCACCCTATGTATCGCGGTTTTGTTATTGTTGTCAGCATTTCTGCAGTTTTACCGGTTACTATGATGGCAAGGTCGTCTGCATACCCGATAATTTTAACGTTTAGAGGCATTTCTAATTTTAGTACCTCGTCGTAGTATGCATTCCAGAGAAAGGGACCGAGAACAAATCCCTGTGGCACTCCACAAGTGGTCTCTATTATATTGCTGTTGCCCACCAGCAACTCCCTGTTTTCGAGGTAACTTGTCACCATACGCATAAGATATGGGGCTATGCTTTTTCCTAAAAGCGCTTTCACTACTCCTAGCCAGGGTGCCAAATTAAACGCGTTTTTCACGTCAAGTGTAAAGAGAAGGCATAGCTTTTTGTTGTGGTAAGCTAAGCCATTATCATTTTTTGCTGCCTTTAGGACCATATTAACTGCGTCTACTGCTGATTTTGCTTTAGTAAAACCAAATTGGCACTTAGCCTCTTTTTCCTCAATTTCGGTGTGTCGCCTTTCTTTAATTAAGTGCTCTAATAGCTTCCCCATACAGTCCAGCAAACATATCGGTCGATATGAAGGTTTACTGCTTACTTGTTTCTGTGGCTTTTCCAAAATCACAAGCTTTGCTCTTTTCCATATCTTTGGAAATTCTCCTATGCAAAGTTGCCAGTTCATTAGCCTTAAAACTTCCATTGGAGAATTTTCGGCGAATTTCTTTAAAATCTCAGTTGGAATTCGATCTGGTTCAGGAGCTTTTTTGTTTTTAATTTGCTGGATGTCATTTTCGTTTACATATATTGGAGACCACTTCATTTTTTCTTCCTTGGGAAAAAGGTTTCTGGCCTCTTCCAGCATAGTCTTGTCGTTCATAAACAGGAATCGTGTCAGGCAAAATGCTTTGGTCACTATCATATCCCAAACTCCATATGTTGTCTTCGACTTCTTCCACCACTTTCTTCGATTTTCTTTATACCAATGTAAAGTCCTGTTTTTTCCTCTTGATTCGTGTTGCGTGATTTATTCTTCCTGATGATAATACGTTTTTTGGCCAAACACTCTTTTCTTAGTGCCGATACCTCTGGTGTCCACCAGCAGGCAGGTTTCTTTTGTCCTAATAGATCCTTTCTAATTTAAAAAGTGTTGTTGCTGGCATTTGTAATGATATCGGACCATGTTTCTGGGGTGATATTCTGGTTATTTTGCTTTGCTATGTCTTGTCCCAGAGTTCTTAAAAAAATCCCATTCTTGATTCCTCTATGTTCCAGCCTGCGTGCTGCGTGCTTTTGTATTCGTAGGTCTACGCTTTTGATCTCCTTATTGATCTCACCAATATCGAAGAAGATGTAATTGTGGTCGGACAGGTTTTCCTCGTCAGATACTTCCCATTGTGCATTCCTTTTTGCAAGTCCGCTAGTTGCAAATGTAATACCGATAAAGGACTCGCTCTATCCTCTTTTAAATGTTGACATCGTGCCTCGGTGAAGCACAACGAGATCTACTTCCGAGGACCATTCCGACAGTGTTTCTCCTTTACGGTCGTTTACGGGGGAACCCCAAGTCATCGACTGCGCATTAAAATCGCCGCATATAATACACTCTTTTGTTTGGCTATAGTCTGAGGTGGTATAGGAAACGGATGAAAATTTCTTCGCTTTCGTTCAGCGATATGTAACTTACACTACTATGTCTAAGCACTCTATCCAGACATATCCCCGTCCCTTACCGCTACTTTGGATGGCACCAAGGCGATGTGATGGCACTATTGCAACGTCAAAGTTGTCATCGGTGTACCTGTGGTTATTTTTTATTGAGATTTTTTTGTTTAGTTCGCTAAGAACTACCAGATCCACCTCCTTCTGTCGTATCAAGTGTTGAAGCATATCATGGGCGGAATATCTTCTGCCCAAGTTTACTTGTAGGATTTTAAGCATTTTGGGTAAAAGGAAAATATTTTGAGTCTACAAAATTTACCTGCGTTCCCAAAATTTGATAAGAAGATAAAATGTTTTTAAATTCTGGAATTTGATTTTCTTTATAGATTGATGCTAGATATTTAAGCATTTTGTTCAAGTCCGAAACCGGTAAAATACTATTATGAAGCGCATTCACTTTTGCAAACATAATAGCGTCTTCTAGGTTATCTAGAAGTTTAATTGCATGATGATCCCGTGAAAACTAAGATTGTCTTGTAAAGAATTTATCGTCATTTTGGAAAGTTTTTAAACCAGTTTGCAGATTACGTTGGTTTTCATTTAATTTCACAATAGTTTTACTATAATTATTAATTATGCCTTTTGATAAAGATACTTGTAATTCTAATTCTTGGGCTAAATTATTTTGGTTTTTCTCGAGTGTATTTATTGCTGCTTTATAATAATTTCTGTCGTCAGCGTCTAGAGTTCCAAAAAGCCATTTATTTATTTTACCAACCGCGTTAATTAAGCCTCGTTCTTTACCATGTGGCTGTAAAATTTTTCCACAGTAATTTGTGTTAAATATTCAGTTCCTTTCGGCAAGTCCATAATATGAAATATTATTAGTTATATTTTTAACATTACACTTATCTTTAATTATTTTGAATGCTCTATGCTTTTTACGCGATTAATTATTTGCCTTAAATGGACATAATGGATAAATGTGTGTTTGTTGTAAATTAATTTTGCGTTACCTATCTGGATAGGAAGTATAGGATTTACGAGTTTGGTAACTTGTACGTCTGTCGTTACTAGTCGTTCGGTTAGAACTGCTAGGAGTAGAAGAGTCAACATTTTGAACTTCATTGGTTTCATGAAAGATTAGATTTTTATTGGCCTCTTTGCACTACTTTTATGGTAGCTTGTTTTTGGTGTTAATAATTTATTTTCCGTTTGGCTTGTTAACGGTATCATTTTAAATTTAGGAAGTTCTTTGCTTCTAAATTTTGTTTTAATGAAAGCATATTATTGATGGGTAAAATCTGGTGGTTCGTCACGATTTTCGTTTCTCTTAAAGATGATGTCTTCTTTCGTTTTTCCATTTAATTCCTTTATTTGTTGGTACAATTTAATTGAGTTTTCATTATGCGAAGAAGAAGAAATAATCGCGTTATCATTTAGATCAAATGGGTTTTGAGGATTTAAATGACCATTTATCACTTCAAGAGGTGTAAATTTCGTCACGTGTAAATTACTGCTCGCTTAACGAGTTGATCTGTAGTTAGATTCTTGTTTTCTTCTTTAAGACATCTATAACTTTCAATAATATTTGAATGAAATCCCTCCACAGGGGAGTTTGAATTACTATTTTGTGGCGTCTTAAAATGTAATTCTATTCGGTATAACTTGCAAAAGTCTTCGAGGTCCTTATTTTTAAATTCTGTTCCTTGATCTGAGGTTATTTTCAATAGTAATCCATGATGCGTTGTAAAATTAAAAAGGGTTTCAACTACTTCGGTTACTGTTATGCGTTTTAATGGATACACTTGTCCATTGCGCGAAAATGCTTCAATTATTGTAACGTAGGCTTCATGGTTTATCCTAAATGTATCAACATGAATGTGTTCGAATGGTTTTGATGCTGTTGGTGTTAAATTAAATTATCACTGGTGGTTTTCGATCATACTTTTGGCATATGTCACAATGGTTAACATAATATTCTATATCGTTAGACATTTTTGGCCAATAATATTTTCTACAAAGAGAATTGTTCATTTCGTTTATTCCACGATGGCACATTTTTGTCGTATGGTATAGACTGAGTTTTTCTTGTTGGTCATCTTGTGTTTTCATGTCTTCGAGAACTGCGTTACAATGAATTATTTTAAATGCTGAATTTTTGAAAGTGTGTTGTAATGTTACAGCGAAAATTCTAATTAGATTTTCTGCTTGAAAGAAAATTGCATAAGTAGTTTTTGGTTTAAAGTATTCCTTCATGATTTGTATTATATTTGGCATTTGGTCATTTTTCGGGATTGTGACATAAAATCGATTATTATTAAACACATTTTCTTTTCTTATTAAGAATATTCCTACATCTCCTGTTGTTAATATTATTTCATTTTCGAAATTGGAATTTCGAAAATTAGATTTTCCGCTGAGGAATGTACTGTACCATTTTCTTTTAAATCTTTTAAATTTTCCCTTTGGTTAAATGAGGGTTTAATCTGAATGTCCGATAAAATTTTAATCTTTTGTTCTTCCAGTTTAAACAAAATTTCATCTAACGTTGAGTCGTCCAGATTTGGCAATTCGTCGTTATCGCGTAATAAAAAGTCGCCTATAATTTCATCCGCGCCTCCTAAATTGTTGGGTATCAAGAGCGTTCATATCTATTGGATATCGTCATAAAGCGTCCGCTGGTTGGTTGTTTTTACCTTTTTTGTATTTAATTTCGTAGTCATACGTCTCAAGTTTAAG